TGGCGCCATTTCTTTCTTTTGAACCAATATTTCAAGGAGGTAGGGTGTGTCTTTAGTCTGCTTGAAATTTCATATATTATAGACTAAAATACATCTTAGTTACTAAGCTTGAAAAATTATAGTGTAATTCTATGGTACTGATGTAGTACTTTATGATTTTTTTAGTTATTCAAATGTATATATAAAACCTAAAAAAAAATTTTCATATCCTTGACGTGCAAATTTATTAAAGGCATAGCAACCTACGTCAAGCAGCAATCGAGTACAAAGGTCGTAACTAAAAAGAGATAATTCTTTGCTTTACTTCTTTAGTTACTGTTCTATGTTTTAAGAAAAATAATTTAAGAACTTATTTCAAAATAGCAATAATCTATATACATATATAATGTAGAATAATTGAAATGTGACTGAATTATACAAAATACTAGTCTACTAAAACACAGCCAAGACAAGCTACTTTGTAAAGACCAAAGATCATTTTTATGTTATTTGATACGGTAACATGAGTGCACGGCTGAAAGGTCAATATAATAAATATATATAAATGTATAATGTTATGAGATTTAAGCTATTTAGTATAAACATTTATGTTTTCATGTTATAATTTGTGATCGTTTTATATTTATTTCCTAATCTGTTATGGTGGTTGTGAGATCGGTCAAATCTATCGAACCCGTACAGAGATTAATTATTAATTTTCTTTTAACTTTTTTTGGTACTTAATGGTGAGAATGGGAGGACAAGTGTATCCATATAAATTTTGGCAAGGTAGGAGTGATAATATGTAGGGATGGTGCAAATGCCATTCCTACTATCTTGTTTGCATTGTTTTTGAAGGATTGATATTAGCCATCTTTACATTTACTTCCTTTTTTGAAAAGTTTTTTCTTTACTTGTTTTCTTGCTTTTTTAATACAGCGTTTCAATAGACATAGGAAAGTTGTACTTATAACCAAATTCTAAATACAGTGAGATGTCAACTGTAATATTTAATGTTCATCTACTATTATTGGCTGGCAATTTCTGTAAGAAAGCTAACTTCAAGGGGTAATGATAACATCATTTACACTAGAATTATGATTTTTTTAAATTACTACTAGTTAATAATACTTATAAGAGCGGATAATCTGTTTGAAACTATGTCACCTCAGTGAAATTGGTTGACACCAATGTTTTGTTTTTTGAGTTATCATGTAATACAAAAGAAGAAGCAGAAAGAAAAACAAGAAATTCAAACTTTTAGGTAGTAATTTTAGTTTGTTTTTTTTCAGTAATACGACTAGCAAAGAATGCTTGAATACACGTTAGAGGACAGATGAATAGTTTAATGTTTGGATATTGATGCAGTCTTGGCCACAAGCAAAAATATATTCAAGTTCTATCTTTGACTGTTTCAGTTTTCAATAAATTTGCCTCCTGTTACTGATAGACTGAATTATTTCAAACCTTTTTTTTAAATAGAATGAATAGAATAGCCTTTCATATCTTTATGATTTATGTAACATAAGTACCCATAATGTTTTTGCACTATAAAAATGCACTATGAAAATTCTGAGAAGGAAAATATTTGTATTTATTTTGAAAGTTTGTAATTGTTCTTTTTATTTTTAATCAAAGCTAAGTTTGATGTTTCTTAACAGTGAGGTAAATATTTTTATTATTTTCAGGCTCGTCGATATGATTCAAGAACAACAATATTTTCTCCTGAAGGTAGGTTTTAGTAAAATAGAAATTTACTTCATAAAGTCTGTATTGTTTTACAAATATTCTTTCATAGATGATTTAGGCATTGTATTTATGATTTAGCAAGGGTGAAGATTGAAAACTTCTGTAATTTCACCACCTTAGCCTTCTTTATTGGAGTCCTTTCAGTATTGAAAGTCCTACTATCCACATTAGGCAGTTGATGTCCATTTTCACATTTCTTTTATACTAAAAATATCACTTCTGGTCAAAGAATGAGAGCCCTTAGGTTTTAACTAAATGGACATTTATAGCTTGTAATGTAATAGGCCTATGAAAACAAAAAAAAACTATTAATAAATATGAATATTCTAATAATTAATGAGTCTGCAACAGAACATTGACATGCAACTAAGTTACCTTTGAATCAACTGCAAAAATTGCAAGAGTTAAGAAAGTGCAAAATGTTATTGTGGAAGTTAGATTAACTTAATAATAAATATATACTCGCTGTTATGTATTTTCAAGTTGTGTGATAAAATATGTTTGAATTGAAAATAAAACACTTGTATATATAAATTTCCAGTAAATCATATATCAAACTTAAACTACTCTCAGTCTCCATGACCAAAAGTAGCATTAAAACTAATGTATTCTTGAGTAAATGGTTTAACTAATTCCATCCTAATGAAATGCATGTGAAGCTTTTATTATGTACTGTTTTTGTTGCAGGACTGCTATCATGCTCATTAGTGGTCATGGATAGTGAGTGACAGTTAAGGTTTAAAAGTTAGTGAGTAAAAAGCAATGAAGCCTTGTTCTTAATATGTAGTTCTGGGAAGATTTAATTAAAACAGGTGTTATGAAAGAAAGTGTATTTTTTCCAAAAATAATGTTCCATGCTAATGTGAATGATTACTTCGACGAAATAAAACATCATTTAATACCATCATCTTTACACACATCCTAGTGATGTTCAAGTATATCTTCCTAAATCTGCTATATTTACAAATTGTGTTTGTAAAATGATTTTAAAATAAAATGTAAAATAACTAGTCTTTGAAAATCTGAACTAGAAAGTAGACCACGAAATATGGTTATGAATTTTACAAAAAAAAGTTGATAAATGGTTTTTGTTTCAGAAAAAAGTCTGTTTAGTCTATCACTGAAAGTATTTTAGTGTATTTAAGTTTTTAAACAAGTTTTTAATTTATATATTTATCAATTAAAAAAATTCACAAGTACTATTTCAGGGAGACTTTATCAAGTTGAATATGCCATGGAAGCCATTGGACATGCAGGAACTTGTCTAGGAATACTAGCCTCGGATGGTATAGTGTTAGCTGCAGAAAGAAGAAACACTAATAAATTACTTGATGAAGTATTTAGTGCAGAGAAGATTTATAAGCTACACGCGTAAGTAGAAAGAATCAGTCATCATGCCTGATACAAAAAGAAAACCAAAACTTTGCTTTAGTTGATGATTGGAAGTTAAAGGAACATATATTTTCCAACTTCAAACACATGCATTTCTGAAAATATTTAATATATAAATAATTTAATATTTAATAACAAGCTCTAAAAAGAAAACACCTGCATTTTTTTCAATATATTTATTCCCATTTTAAAGATGAAAAAAACTAATTTATTTTAAAAACTGTGCTTCAAGTGGGAAGCTCAGAAAAACTTCGAAACATATGTTCTCATGGTTGCTAACTTACAGCTACATTTATTAACCAACATTTACTCAAGGAAAAACTGTTTAATACTACCTTATACTCTATGATACACCTGAAAAATAAAGTTAAAAATTTAAAGTAAATAATGAAAATTTTATAGTTCTATACAGTTAGGAATTTTTTTAGCAGAATTTTTAAATTACGATTAACTAAAGGCCTATACAAGCATGCAGCTTTAAACTGTCAAAGGGTGATATTAATATTTTATTTATTTCTAGACTTACCAATGAAACATAACTATCAATAAGTTTAAAATTATGAGAAAATTACAATATGTAGATATACTCCTTAGGAAGAGATGAGCAATTAATTGGAAATCATGTTTTAGATTTTTTACCTTAACCTGGTCAACCAAAGATTGTATGTATTTTTAATTTATTACAGTACAAGCAAAAGAACCTGCTTGACTTTGGTTATTAGGTTGATAATGTGTATATTCTGAATGCATTTTAGCATAAAAGTATAACCTATATACTTTTGTTGCTAAGCAACATGACATAAAAGCCATTGTTGAAACGCATTGTTCACCAAAACACATTAGCTTTTCTGTATATTAGAAGTTGTTATATAAGGAACCACTTCTTTTCTATGTGGTTTTTTGCTAACTTACTTCATTAAAAAGATGTGCATGTACATCGATAAGTAGTAATAAACAGGTGCACACCCTCAGGGTCCACTTAGTATGGATGCAAATTTTCAGGTTTCTTGGTTCTTTTGTCTTGGAGCTATGGTGGTCACACAGACACACATGTGCACATACATGGATGTATACATGTGCATTTCTGTCTGTCTGTCTCTGATTTCTCTTTATAGTATAAGAAACCACTTCTTTTCTATATGATTTTCAACTACCTTGCCACATTAAAAAGATACAAACCTGCATGATGGAATGCACATGGATAAGATAAGTAATAATACCCAGGTGCACACCCTCAGGGTCCACTTAGTATGGGTGTAAAATTTCAGATTTCTTGGTTCTTTCATCTTGGAGCTATGGTGGTCACAGACATGCCTTTTTATTA